GTGTTTCGTTCTGGACTGAAGCCGCAGTATACGTCAAAGTTGAAGGTTTGTAACTACGTTTTGTGCGCATGTTTTGCTGCAGAGAACAGCGTTCACTTGCCGTCTGAATATACACTCGTTGTTTGGCAACCGATTGTTTTGGATTGGTCGGTTTCGCTTTGGGTTTTGGAGGTCTGGAAGTTCATATCTTCGTTACTCGCCACTCAGTGGGTTTGGCGTAACAGTTACCACTTCGCAAAGTTGGATCTGTTTGAACTGTGCCCACGAACTCCTTTGGAAAAAGGAATGCAAGGGACTTCTGACCATAGATATTCACTCGAAACTATTTAGAGACAATCGTCATTCTTTCGGAGTGAAAGAGACTTCAGCTATATTCCAACAAGTAGTGGATGCGATGCTGCATGGTATGCATGTTTCAGAAGCCACTTAGATGACATAATCACCATGAGAAAAGACAAAGAGGATTTGATGCACAAACTTGACCTAGTTTTGGAGCGCACCTCGACTTCAATCAGATAAATGTGACTTTCGTGCAGAGAAAGTTAGTCGCCCTGGATTTATAATAGATAAGCACGGAAGACACTCAAATCCAGCCACTACGGATGCGATAAAACGTATGCCACGTCCGAAAGATTTTACTACCTTTCGTTCAATGCTGAGTCCAGTAAGTCATTACAACACATTCTTACATGATCCTCATCACCTTTGCACCCCTTTGAATGTGCTATTAATGAAGAATGCAAAATATGACAGCCAGCTGATTGCCAGCAAACATTTGTTAAAACTAAGGTTCCGCTCACTTCAGGGCTGCACCTTACCCTCTACAACCCATAACCAAGGGGAGCTGATGAGCCCACCTCTCAGTCGTTCTCCAGTGCTAAATCCGTCGGTGTCAACCTGTTTGCAGGGGACTTCAACCTCCCTGAAGTTAACAGGGAAACCAGTTGTGGCCCTCAGAGTCATTATGAAATACTTGTCATCTAGGGTTTCCACGGACGAAAACAATGCACTCATTCCCCCACACTTGGGGACAGTACCCTGGATCAAGTCTTTTGGTGTAGCATCATCTCGGTCGCCACGTATGGTAGTGGTGGCTTCGTTAAAAGTGACCACAGTATCGTTTTCTGTTGTCCATCAATCCTACTCTTCGTGAGGAAGAACAGCAGCCCACAAAAATATCTCTCATCATAATCGCAAAAGTGGAGATTGTGGGCGTTCACTGATCACTTCACGTGCAACCCAGGGGGTGAATATTTCATAACAGTCTCATTTAAAGAGACTTTCGTTTTTCTTTAGAAAAATAATGCGATGTTCAGATATCGTTACTTTCGTGAGATCATTTAGGGTGAAGAAGAATGAGGACCGATACATCCCTCGAATACCTCCCAACAAACTTCGGAAATTATCCGTGCCATATCACTCCTCCAAAGATCTACTGGTGCTGCACCCAGTCCATGATACCTATGAAGCAGTTAAGACCCAACGTGCATGACACGCAATAAACGAAGAGCTTGATGCTCTCCGAAGTGGTTCTGGGATACATAACCTGACCTCTCTTTTGAATGAACGTCTGCAGGCATAAGGAGACATAGCTTGTGCATCACTCAGCGGGGTGGTCTGCAACAATCCCTGAGAAAGTTGTGAAATATTCGGTGAATCGTTTGCGAATTTCACCCCATGGCTCACTTAGCCACGCCACCTTCACGCTGCCTGCTACAGGTCCACGCACCATCGCGGAATTCTCTGTCAGCGGTATCACAGAAGCTATCTAGAGCTTGCTACCATTAGCAGGTGCAGGAATAGACAACCCAAACTCAATCGTCGTCGGAGACGGTGGTTATGATATGCCGCTGACGCCCAATATGTTCACTCTGTCAACGGAAAGTGTAGCACATCCCATTGAATGGAAAACCAGTCACACAACTCCTCGCCACAATTCCGGAGACAAGTCGAGCGCCGTCTGTTGTAGACCCATCAACATAAGAGCGATCCTCTGTAGAACTGTATGGAAGGTAATTGAGAGCAGCATCTCTGATCCTCTGCTGAGAGAAAACCTAATCACTAAGTCCTGGCGTGGTTTGCCGAAGAATAGGTTCTGCTTTACTTACCACTTCGATTTCTCCACTTTCATCACTAGTGACTGTGGGGCATAAAAAATCGTCACTCTTCTACACTTCGGTATATCAAAGGCACTTGATTAGATGTCCCGCGATATACTGCTGGATAGGCTCCAGCTATTTGGCATTCATGATCCCTTATTTAGTTGAATAAAGTCATTTCTCAGTGATCGTGCTCAAATCGTGGAGGAAAACTCCATCTAGTCTGAACCTGAACTAGTGGAGTTATGCATGCAATGTCTTCGAGCCTTTGCCATCTATAACCCAAATTAACGGTGTGTGCAAGTTATTCACTACAGGGGAAACATTCTCATACGCCTATGCTTTGAGGGTTTAGTACGCCGGTCGCACTCGTGAACTCAGCAGTACTCTAACTACTACCCAGCAGGGGTTAGGTGAACTTGCATCATGCTGTGGAGAGCCCCACCTTTAATTCAGTAATAACGAATGTGGTCGTCTTGGCATAGGCAATGATAATCTGGACCTGACTGTCGACGTCTGCTGACGGAAGCTACTTGGGTACCCTTCTGCGGTAGATCTTGGCATCAGATATTTCGGCGACAGCATTTCGGGAACTAGCGGCTCGTACCGGATCCGAGTCATGTAAACTGTCGGAATGCATCGTTCGCAACTTCTATATCACCGAACCAAGGGTTCTCCTCTGTAATGCATGCATTCGCCTTTTTGTTAGAATGCTGCTATTTTGCTCTCAGCTGCTTTCGTACAGATGAAAAACTAAACTCCGAGAGGGTACAACGTCGCTTCACCTTCAGAACACTAGGGGCTGACTCGAATCCAGACCATGCGTCCAGTTGTAACGTGCTGAGGTTAGGATCTCTCTGAAAGAGGTGACCTAAGCTGAACCTCATATTTTATCATGAGTTACTTCATAGGCACTCGTGCTCTTATGGTCCGCAAATCGAGGTAATTATAACGTTCACGTGTTGTATGCGTGGCCATAAGTGCCAGTTGAAACTGTCCCATGACGAGGCATTCAGATAATTTCTTCCTCAGTTAATTCTCTCTAATTTGGAAGAGGCCTCTTATAGGAAACCATACGACAAACTCGTTAACACCTTCCCGCCCCCACTTAATAGGCTGCTAACAAATGATGAGTCTATCGCCCACCATTTGTGCATTCTGGGCTAATGAGAACGTAACTGGATCTCTAATGCATGGAGCAGAGTTATTATAATTCTCGAGTTTTCCTTACACTGATGAGTTTGCGAATGCCTAAAAGGGGCTTACTTACTGATTTCCTTTCTGACCATAATTCACCCAACGTTCACCATTTTTCTCTCTAAAATCTACCAAGAAACGCCTCAGATGTAGGAAATTTACGAACCTCATGCTGGAAAGTCTATGTGACTGTTTCCATACGGATAAATGAGGGTGGACGTGAAGTTCGCACAGGCCTAACAACATAAGAACCATTCTTCAAGTCTGATTGCGCGGTAAGATCCTATTCCATGTCTGTTCGTGTTTCCCTTTTTCCCTTCTGTACATTCGGTGCCGAATTACACTTTGAACTTAGCTACTCACCGGAACTAATACCTGTGGTGTGACACCAAGAGTCGTTGGACAGTTCTCAGCCTTCCGTGGCTTCTAGAGCCGTTGCAGGTAAGTGACATCCTGAGCCAATATGTTAATTGGTCTCTGGTTTAATCATCTGCTCAGAATGTCTCTGCTACTGGTACTGTTGGGAATGGTCAGACAGTTCGTCACGAGAAGAATCATGACCAGTAGGTGAATTAATCTTGAAGCTTGTCCAGAATTTGCGAAAGAGTTGGAGCAGTCCAATAATTACTGGCGTCAATGAGCAGCTGTTACTCCCATAAAGTAATCATGTTCGGACTGAGTTTGAACATCAAATGTCGGCCTGCAACTGTTTCTGCAAATGGGGAAAGAAAGAAGAGGCACGAGTGGATATGAAAATAGAGATTACTACGCTATCAAATTTGGAGAGGAGAGAAGTCCCTATTCTTTTTTGATTTATTCCGACTTTATGTACATTTTCATGTATATATGTGAAGTCAACTACATAGTCCTTCCATTATGGGTTATTAAGTCTTTTTTTGGGGGGGACGACAAATAAAATTAGGTGGATACCGCTGAATTGTGGATCACCAGTGTTCTCTTCATAGTGTCCTATGAGGATAAACTGGATATATAAGCTCTCTCTTCCCTGTTTTATTCAGGGACAATACACGTTATTTCAGGATTTGATTATACACGCTTCTGACTGATGCAGAGGTCAACGACGAATTCACCTTAATCGTTGAGTATTCGAAAGTTTGAGATCAAAAAAGACTTCAGCGACCAGCTAAGTAGGGAACATATATTTGATGAACTGTGCCAGCATGCCAGTCTTGATGCTTAGGTTAACGTTCCAATAGAAGATACAATGGAAATGCTCACTTATCACAGATAAATCTTCCGTGATCGAAAATTCGTTTCTCACATAGAGTTATGAACCCACAGGACTCTCGACCAGATCATTTAGTGCTTGTTCTCTTTGTCTATAGCTTCAAAGCGAAATATTGTCTTTTTAGTAATAGCACTTGTGGGCATCAAAATCTATATTGGAGGCGTCAAACAGTATTATGTCAAGGGTCCAACGAAAGTAAGTGATATTTTTTATATCGTTACGAGAGTCACTATTCTTTAGTAATCGCACAAATATTATGCAAGAAAATCTTAGCTTCACTGTCTGAAGCACAGTCCCGGCGTCCCGGAGTTGTTTCAAATTTTAACTTCGAAGGTCGTCATAAGTTCCGCGTTAATTTCAAAACTTGGCACACTTATCGCTCATTATATCTAATAATAAACTTGTATTTCTAACTTATTTTTGGAGGATTTCCCCAAATACTTAGCCTTATACTAATGACGCGATCGGAGGCTAGGCTACCGACAGTTGATCGAATTGTCACAAGTAAGAAAATAGTATGTAAATAATTTTGAAATTCAAATTAACTCGTAATCACTCGGCAGGTGTTTGTAAGTTATTTTGAAGGAGAGTTCAATAATTTTTTGCACTGTTTTAAGGATTGTATCGTTTTGCGGCACATATGAGCACATTTTCCTCATTTATCTGGCTAGGCTAAGGAGAATATGTTGTCATAAGTTCAAAATGTTCTGATTCGAAGTCGCTTCCAAGGGGCGAGTGGTATGAAAGGTTAACTTTGGGTGGACATTCTTCCCCACTGTTTTACTTGCCGAAGTTCGATGTATCACCTCGTCTGTCATTCCCCAAAGGTGGTTTTCTGACTAGAAGTCAGTTTATATTACTTCTTATGTATGAGAAAACAGTAGTAATTCAACAGTTTTAACTTCAGCTTCAAATGTAAGACGTGATGTGTGCCTTTTTAACATGAAGAACTGACATTGTGTTGATCATGCTTTGCTCTTTTGGCATGATGGATCAGAAGTCATTTAGTGACGTGCAGCACAGGGTTTTAAAAAATATATTTAGAGATGGGAAACGGTGTGCAGTATAACTCGGCGTCGCTTCTTAAGATAAACATTCCATATGGTGTCATTGTTAAGATGTACACCTTTTCATTTCTGCACACCTGTTGTATGGATCGCAAAATGCGGAGTTTAGTTGGTTAAAAACTACAGGTTGACTCAGAGGTTGGTGGAAAATGCTGATGTTTTTATCCATTCCTGTCCCTCTTCCTCTCCTTCTCTCGATATATATATATATATATATATATATATATATATATATATAAGAGAGAGAGAGAGAGAGAGAGATAGATAGATAGATAGATAGATATAGGGTTGTGTAATGTGTATACCAAAGATATGGGTTGATGTTTCGTTAACAATGCTGTCTTATGTTCTTATTTTCCTGGTTTCGCAGAGCATGATAAAATGTTCATTAATCTAGACACTGGTTAGTTCTCTGGTAGCTGAAAACCTCAAAGTGCCTTAAAACTATCCAAGGTCCGGATAGTCAGGTAGTATTCTCAACGACTTTTGTTCGAACAGAGTGATACCTTAGGTAAATGCATCTTTAGTAGTTTTTGAAAATGTTCTGCAGTAGTTATCACTAGTAGATATTTAGGTCGTGTTTTATGGTTATTATCTGAAGTAGCTTGTAATGTTTCATGCACTTTGTATATAAGTAGTTGATGGCTTGTGCTGTATAAGAAAATACAAACTTCTTGGCTAGGGTCCTATCAATTTTATTCCTTGGTTGAAAATTATGGATATCTTTGTTCAAAAGTGATAACAAGTGGCACAATTCTACTTTTTTCTTCTAGTTCGAATGGATCACTGCTGTTCTTGTCACTTACTATTTTTCTTTTCGTGATTCATGACATCCTATTTATTACCTTCCTTTTCTTATACTGTTGTTAACTGTGGTGACTTCGAATTGGGCACTGACAAATTCTCTGTCTGTTGCATGAAGGTATTGTGCTTTTAGAAACATCGTCTCTCTTTGTGTCTTTTTTGCATCGTCTTTCATTGAACAGGTTTTAAGTTATTTTTACAATTCTGTTTCAGCTTTTTAACCGTTTTTAGCATATGTGGTGTTTGTTTTTGATTAAGGATAATTGCATATTGGTTTGAAGTGCAACATTTCATATCACGGTTGCGGTTAGAAAAAGGGAAGAGAAAGACATCAGAATAACAAATGTAGTTTTTTAACGTCATGAGAAAAGGAACAAAGCAGATAAATAGTGTGTATTCCTTTACTTGCTGATGATTACACATATTTTGTGGGGCCTAACAATATTATCAGGGTGCTCAAAGTCCCTCGTTGTAGCGAAGTTTGGCTGCCTAACCCAATGGACCATAGTTCTAGTTGCCATTTTCGTGGAATTCCATCTCATTTGTTGTATAATGTGAACTGAAAGAAACACCTGCTTTCATGACCGGCCAATAGCTGCCACCTTGGTGTGGCGGTCTGGCTTGTATATCACAATGACCGACCGACCTATACTAGCTGCAGCGCTTTTTACTCAGTGGTTCTAACATGCCTGAAAGATTTTTTGGATAGTGGTAAGACGATAAGCAGTTACCGTCGTAGTGTAAATTGCTACACTATGATGAAGTCTAAGGACAACGTTGTAGTGGTGGGTAGACGGGGTGAGATAGCAGTGAGGTGTTTTCCTTACATGACCAGCAATGTCACACTGATGCTACCTTTCCTGTGGGGACGGGGTGGAGGGTCACAAAGGTCAGCTTCAAAAATAGCACACACCTTGCCCAATGGTCTTCTGGCGCTCTCTACTCCAACTTACACAGCTATGTTAGGGCTTATGGAGAGTTGTCTTGTGAATTGACGGTAACTAGTGGTGTCCACCAAATGCTTCCGTCATCATCGTTCCTATTCCACTTTGTTGTAGACGTACCAATGGACATAACCTTACGTACGTCTAACTTCACAGATACTAACCTACTCCATGGAGGTCATCTGGTTGGCCTGGAGTATACAGACGATATTGTTCTATTAGGTGAAAGTGCTGATGCAGTCAAGGGTGTTCCAAACGCGTTGACCGGAAATTGGAGTGGGTTTGGCATGCATTTCACACCTGGTAAGTGTAAAATGATGCTCCACTACTGGGCTGATGCAAGTACTCCAAGTTTAATGATGAGGAGTGAAGTGGTAGAATGTGTCGACCATTTCACTTAGTTGGTAAGTTGCATCAACGAGAATGGGCTAGTTGCAGATGAAATCTCAATTATGATAAAGAAGGCTAGTTTGCCACTCGCCATTTTCCAACTTGCGTCGTCATCTGTGGCGCATACTGGCGAGATGTCTGACTATCTATTAGAGGAAGAGTATGCTATACTGCTTCAGTCCGTTTTGTCCTGTTGTACGACTGTGAACCATGGCCATTGAAAGTAGATATTGAGCGATTACAGGGTTTTAGTTATTGGTGTCTTCGTAACATTGTTCGCGTTTGGTGGAATCACCATGTGAGGGATGTTGAGGTGAGGTCAGTCGGTTGATTAGATTGTGAAGCTTCATCGAGTGCCGTGGTTTGGACATATTTTGAGCATGCTGAGTAAGCGGCTTCCTCGACGTACCATGCTAGTGAAAGTTGGATTGTGTTGTAATAGGACTCAGGGTGACCAGACCAAGACGTAGCACCAGTTTATGAAGTCTTAGACTGTTTTTCTGAGTCATATGGGGGGAGGGGGTGTAGAATACTTGACCGGGGTCTCCGAACAGATAGGTATCAGTGGTTGAGATCTCTTGGTGACAGGGCTGAAAATCAGTCACAATGTCGAAGATGTATTCACTCCTTGACATCTGAAGACTGAATATTCGCACTGACCGTTATCCTCAAATTGTTTATTTTCTCACACAACTGTTTATAGATTAATCTCATTTTTATTCTATCCACCTGTTCTTTGTAAACTACTGTGGAGTCTGACAATTTGAGCCGATTTACTGGTGTGCGAGATTCTACGTTGATTCTATCTGTCTCACTCAATTATGCTAACACTTATTAGTCTGAATGATGTTCAAAATTGAAGCTAATTCACTATATTTTTTAAGCTGTTAAGAACCAATTGCTGAAGTTCCTTGGGTAACAGAATTAGAAATGAGTCCATTCGTTCTCTTCGTAATTTTCTTCAGTTGTTTGTTTCATCCTCACTTCTGTTTATTTTGTTTACTTTTTAATATTTTTCATATTTGTTAGCTGCTTTTTCTTGTTGTGTTACAAAGTGTGATTTGTGTGTGGTTCTATTTTTCTGCAAAGTTCTATATTGTTTTATGTCTGTTCTTTATACTATGAGGTTTTTTGCTAAGTGAATGGATATAGCGGTAAACTTTTTTTCATAAAATATGCATGTTCATATTAGGGAATGTCTGCATTCCTGATTTTTCAGTGTTTTCTTATTCTCTAGTGTGCTTTTCCAACTCCAAAATGTATCAAATAATAGATAAGCCAATAATTTAGCATTTAGCATAATTATTACTTTTATGCTCATCTTTTGTCATCTTTGAGCATAAGAATACGGCATTCCACATTGTTAACATGCATCTTTGTACAAAAAAAAATGATAGAAACCAGTACAGAATCATTTTCTTTCAACGAGAAGTGATTTCAAAATGTTTTGGTATGTCTAGTCACCGATTGCCTCGTCATACAATATTGGCTGAAGTAGTTCCAGGCTAGAGAAAGGCCCGATGTGGCCAGACTAAAGCATAGCATCAATGTATGAAGTCTCTGACTGTTGGTTCCAGCCGTGTGGGGGCGATGCAGACTAGGTGGTTGGGGTCCGCGGGACAAGAAGAACCAGCGGTTGGTGACTCTAGGTGATTACATGGCTGAGAACTGATGTGAGTGGCGCAGACGTATATATACATAATCCTCATCTTAACGACACTATACCGAATCCCACCATTTTCTCATTCTTCCTTTCTCTCTTTTCGTAGTTTATATTTCCAACTAGCTGGCTAGGGGTTCGATTACGAGAAGTGCAACTTAACACGGCAGCGTGCCAAATGGCGGGGATATTTGACCGTGTGTCTTAAGCATAGTGAGTCCTATAAAACTATGAAGGTCAGCATCAATGTTGAATCTCGTCAAACCCTAGTTTGTTGATTCTTGAGGAGCATGTGACGTTACAAGATCTAGCGGTTTTTAGCACATAATAGTTCTATACGGAGTTATGGTTCATTGGTTTAGAGAGTTCTGTTGGAACCAGTGGGTCGCGGGTTCGAACCCCACTCCTCAAGATATGTGGGAGGCTAGATACCATAATTGGGTGTCCCACACTAGCGGCATGACTCATTACCTACTTCATGAATATCCACAAGATTGCTGAGTGGATTTCGATTAGATTAGAACTATGTCTTAGGTGACCTACATTCTTATACTTCTCAGATATCACCACTGACGATCTTCTTACATAGTAACGACAACATTATAACAATGAACTTTCTGAACACCAGTGGTAAATATG